ACAACAGGCCCTGGCTCCACAAGATACCACCCTTATGGCATTCTTTGTTTTGTGCCCAACTGACCCATTTGCTCCCAACCTGCTCTACCATTAAGTTCCCTCCTACTATACATGGACTGCTCAAAAAGAGGTAAGCGACGTGCTGCTGACGGTGAATCTGATGCCTTAGGACGAGTCTACACGGTTCATCCCAACAATCAGTAATGCTGCTTTCTCCCAATGCTTCTCCATGTTGCCAAAGGGCACACATCTTTCCAAGACCTCTAAACAGTGGAAGGAGTTGACTGTCAAACATACAGGGATGCTTGTAATCTTCGTGCAATTCTTGTGCATGATCACCATCTTCATGAAGCTATGACAGAAGCTTCTGTCGGTCAGTCCCCTTTCCAACTAACATTGCTCTTCTGCATAAATCTTCAAATTTGCAGCCCATCTAACCCCATGGGACTCTGGCAAAAATACAAAGAGGGCATGAGTGAGGACATCCTCCATGGAGCTCAATGAGAAAATACAAACCTCGACGTCAACTTTTCCAATATCATCTTCAAACAGGCCCTCATCCTCCTTCAGGACAAACTGCACTCCATTGGTGGAAAATACCTCACGTCTATGAGACTACCAACACCCTACAGGGACAACCTGCATGCCCTTGATCAAGAGATACTCCGTGAAATATGCTATTATGCTTTAGAGCTTCTTTAATTCATTTAGGAAAAATAACAAAAGCTGATGGATGCACAAATAGAAGCCTACACGAAAATTTTGAAAGAAATTGAGACTACAAATCGAGTATTTTTTTTTCCTTGATGCACCTGCCAGTACTGGGAAGACCTTTGTTTTCAAACTGCTCCTCGCTAAGGCTCGCCAGAGAGAAACACATGCTATAACTGTGGCATCATCGGGGATTGCTGTGTAAAGTCCATGTGTGTGCGTGGCTCCATGTGTGTGTGTGTAAGTCCTGGTGTGTGTGTGTCGTGGTCCATATATGGGTAAGTCCATATGTGTACTTATGTCGATGTGTGTGTGAGAGTCTACATGTGTGTGTGAGTCGCTTTATGTGTGTACGTCGATTTGTGTGTGTAACTCCATGTGTGTGTATCTAAAGTGGATGTGTGTGTGTGAGTCCAAATGTGTGTGTGTGTGTAAGTCGATGTGTTTGTGTGAGTGTGTCGATGTGTGTGTGTGTGTTTATCACCCGGGCAACGCCAGGTACTTCCCGCTAGTATCCCATAAAAGAGCAGTGTAAAATTACACATTATTGTGGGCCTACCTTGCCACAAAGTCAGCCATGCATCATTCTGAACGTAAATCTTCTAACCGGTTTTTAGTCGATCATTTAAAACGCACATGTGGACATGGGCAGAAGATTTACAATATTTCCAATTTAATTCACATCAAAGACGCCCTTTGCCAGTCCCTGCTCGGCTGATAAAGTGTGAGCAGAATTCATGAGCCGCACAGCTATCCACAAGGGCCTGGCCGAGCCTAAGTGTTCTGTACACGTTTTGAATCACGCGTTCGTTCGGGAATGATGTGCTGCCATGCAGTAGAGCACTAAAAAGAAAGCAAAGCGCTTGGAGGAAGATTAAGTCGACGGTAACGAGCCCAACATAAACGACAACAGCCGTGTGATCGACCGTGCAAGTCGCGGTTCGACGGTGGGTTCCCATTCACTACCCACTGCTGCTCAAAGTTCGAGCACCCCCCACAGCCGCAAATAAAACTTTTAGGGACTTCGTTTGTCCACGGTGCAAGGAGCGCCGTCTGAAAAGGCTCCAGTGCCGTCGCCGTAAAGGACGAGACAACGTCAGAGAGTCACCGGTGTTTAAGCGCGAGCGCGCTAAGGTAGCCTGCGCTCATCGATGACTTTGCCGAAGCATTCCACATTGCGGGGGGACAATTGACGTTTCACGACGGAGAACTTACGTTGACTTCCGACAAAGTGGTACCAATTTGATCAATCCCAGAGAAACGATTAATCGAGTTGACCCGCGACTGGGATTTTGACTCACGACTAATGAGTGTGGGTCGATGCAAGACGCGAGGTTTAAATGCAAATAAAAAATGAATGTATAACTTTTAAATGGTCAGTGGTTCTCCAACAGGGCAGGCATACAAACTATTCATCACACTTTTGTTACTGCACTGACTGGGCTCCCTGTAGACAGGTCAATGCCAAAATATAATCTTTTTAACTTTATTAAACACAAGTGGACAATAACTAAACAACACAAGTTTTTTTTTACGTGCTAAAGAGACAAATACATTGGACTCTGCGTACAACTCGAATTATCTGGTTCCACACGTAGGGCCAGGGGTCATCCTGAAGCTCTGAACCCCGTTACATCTCAAACTAAACACAACGATACCTCCCCATCACTGGGTGAGCCAGTAACTTGCTGCCTGTGGAGCATATGAAAATAAAGCGGATAGAAATCAAGCAATCCCCTTGACCAAATATTACAACTCAACAATAATAATAATTATTATTACTAACAGTCCTTTATCAATATACTGACGGTCGAAGGCCTACCCTTTCACCCCCCCCCCCCCCCACACCGTGTAGGTCATAGGGGCTCTTCATCCGCGCGTCAACATGTTGGTGAGTGCGAGCTCATGAAAGGGAGGGCCCAAGGACCAGTTCAGACGTCACTCACAAACCTGATGACGGCCATGTCAGTTGGGCACCCAACACCCGGGTCACCACATTTGATGGCACAGTTCCAAATTTGGTTTCGTTCAAAGCAGGCGACAACTCAAGACACTAGGGCAGTGATCTTCACTCATAAGACATCATCGGTACGAGGGCCCGCCACACCGTTTGAAACCACTGTTGGGTTTGACCGCAGCACGATGCTGATGGGGGTGTTTTTACGAAGTGTGTGCTGCCGGGGGCCGTGCACGTCAGGTGCCACACTAAAGGCCACCAAGGGGCCGCCAGTGGTTCGCGGGCCTTGCAATGAAGAACACTGCACTAGGATGAGTCTCATTTGCAAGAGTGCACCTGGGGCATTAGTCCGCTCGCAGTGAGGGGCGATTATTGCTGCTGCTGTGTGTAAATCCCAATTGAGTGTGATATTTTTTAATTCGGCGAATTTGGAAAACGTGGCTCTTGGTGCCGGCACACAATGGCCTGGCTCTTGCGAAGGACTTCGGGAGATATTTATCGTCCAATGTGAAGCTGACGGAGCCTGGTAATATTGCAGTTACTACACCCACAGTTGTAATCAGGGTCGGCTGCTCGAATCGAACTGTAAAGCTCAGTGCACTAACCACCGCACCACCACTTAACCCTGCCAGATATGGGTACTCCAGTAGAAGCTTATTACAAGCACACCCCAATGGGAGCAAGGCCAGATGTGCCTATATCAGAATCATGATCGTTATTTCGACTGGAGGAATCCATTGAGCTATGGAGCTCCTTTTCACAGATGTCCAGCGGATCTCAAAAGCAGTGTGTTCACATCATCAGAAACTACTCCTTTGCCTTCCCATCCGCATCGGTGTAATGTTAGCATGCGTTGCTTGCATCACAACTCTGCTTACATAAAGGTGCGCTTACATCCAGCTTCTGCCGAACATGATTTTGAGTTACAAAGCTCTGGTCAACGGCAACCACGCGTTAGTTCAAAAGAGCCACCGGCTGGTTACGTCCAGAGGCGGTGTATCCGCTTCAGCTGATAACACGGACAGAGGAGACAGGCAGAGGGGCTTCAGCGATCACTCGAACGGGGGAGGGGGTGGGGAGTTGTGGCGTGGCGGGAATTCTTAAACAGAATTGCAATTGACAAGCAAACCCCAGGAGCAGCCACGCCATGCAGGCAGGCAAGCATTGATCCCATCCGAGAAGGTACAACCTACAGCGGACTTCAGGTTGCCAGAGAGAGGCGAGCGTGACTGACAAGACTTACTGTATCGTCCCTCTCTCTACCTCGTCAACGGGCACACAATCACATCGCCGCTGTCATTCACACGTCAGTCAGTGCCATGTCTTCCCAACCAACACCCACCCACGTGCTCACCTCAATGATTCATCGCCGGTTTCAGAGGGACTCCTGTGCATTATTAATTTCAATTCACGCTTTTTTATGATATATAAATATATTGGCTCGTGCCGCTTGCAAACAAATGCGAGATTTTTTTTGCCATGTCAAGCCTTTTGCTTTTTTATTGTATCACATGCAGAGGCGGGGTTATAAATATAGCACACGGACCGAATGCTGAATAGATAGCCCAGCGCGCGCGCACGACGGAGCGGCACTGCGGAGCGACTGACAAGGAGCAATTACATCGGACGCTACATTTCTAATGACACAACATCGCAAACTACAGTAGCGGTGTCAAATGTTGCTGGCCGAGCGCGTTTACGTACATGCGCACGTCTCAACGCGCAACGCAATGAGCATTGTTGTTATTACGAAGCATCGCGAGCTTCATCGGGAACGACAAGGTGAAAGGAGAAGAAAAAACAACTGGAGCAATTAAAATTAGCAACGTAACGCCAACACCGGGGATGCGGCTGGTGTCGGTGAAGGGAAACAACTGTAATTGTACACGGTGGTGGTTGAGCTTGGCTTAATTGCGGTTGAATGGTGATCCACGAATCACTCTTACAATGCTAACAATGACTCCCCCCCCCCCCCCATCCAATAATTGCATCAAAGGGAGAACATTGCCGAGTCCCAAGCCCTTTAACGTGGGGCACGTTTGTCCTCCAATTAATTAATTGCCAAACGCAACTAAGCGGGGTAAAACATGCATGAATCATCTCGTGAATCTTTTTACAGAGACATCAAGAACGCGGAGAACGTAAATCCGGACTTATATCAATGCCGCATGGCGAATGAAGATGATGTTGTTAACGACGACGGCGAAGATGATGTTGCCGATGGTGGTGGTGATGATGATGTCTGTTGGTATTCTGTGCAAAAAGAAAGAGATCTTATCTTACGCAGATTTCGATAGCGCCTAAGGCCAGCAGTAGAGGTATATGAACTCACCGCGGAGAGGGGGAAGAGGCGAGACGAGTCTGGCTTGGAGAGGAGAGTTGGAGAGTCGCACCCGCTTTGGCACGACACCCACACGGGGAGTGGCTGCTGAAGCAGCCGCTGCTGCCCAAGCAGCTGCTTATGTGCTGCTGTCTGCGCGGCTGAGGCCGAGGCGCGGGGGCTCGCCACTTAATCAACCGAGCACTCGTCGCTCTGGCTCCTCCTACAGCGAGACACCCGCATGCTCACAACACACCGCCAGCACGCACACAGCCCGGGTTGGTGGTGCACACGGCCTGGGTTGGTGTTACACACAGCCCGGGTTGGTGGTACACACAGCCCGGGTTGGTGTTACACACAGCCCGGGTTGGTGGTACACACAGCCCGGGCTGGTGGTGCACACAGCCCGGGCTGGTGGTACACACAGCCCGGGTTGGTGTTAAACACAGCCCGGGTTGGTGTTAAACACAGCCCGGGTTGGTGTTACACACAGCCCGGGTTGGTGGTACACACAGCCCGGGTTGGTGTTACACACAGCCCGGGCTGGTGGTACACACAGCCCGGGTTGGTGGTACACACAGCCCGGGCTGGTGGTACACACAGCCCGGGTTGGTGTTAAGCACAGCCCGGGTTGGTGGTACGCACAGCCCGGGTTGGTGGTAGACACAGCATGGGTGTACCACACTATCACACACATACCCTGGCTGGTACACACACTATCACACACACACACCCTGGCTGGTACACACACTCTCACACACACCCTGGCTGGTACACACACGATCACACACACCCTGGCTGGTACGCCCCACCTCCCTGCCCCAGCGTTATTACTCCCCCGATGTTATTACAAACCTCCACTGCGAGTTTCAGCAGCGTGGCACGGTTTGCTACGTACGGTGCGAAAGAAGTTGAACACACGCGTGCACATGCAAACGCCACCACCGAATGATCACGGAATTCACGGTCGCGATTCGGGGGAGGGGGCTGGTAGCGCCCCCAGTGGTAACATACGACGAACATGATAACGTCGCAAATAGAGGCACTGTAACTTGCAAGCTGCCAAAATACGTATCTGTGTGCGAGTAAGGCCACGTGGTGTTTTGTATCCCACTCCACCACGCAAGATTGTCGCGATCTACGTGTATTTTGAAGGTCCATTGCCCGAAACGTCGCTGATTATATATTTCATGGCAATGTTGTCGACGAGTGTGTTGAGTGTTTGCGCAGATACCATTCATACGCGGTGCCAATGCAGCTCATCAGCTGTCTTGTTGGGCGGTGGACGAGTTAACGACAACAATGTTGCCATTAAACTACCAACGTTGGAGGGTGAACCCACAACATTTACAATTCGAGTTGACTCTCCAACACACCGGTGTGCTGAACGAGTCACGTTTTGTTTTCGTGACAAGCCTTATTAATTAAAACTAGAGAAGAGGGTATCACCGTCTGATTTCAAAGCTCCGATCTAAGAAAATGTCATTGACCATTGTAATAGTGTATTTAATGTTTTTGTATTGTACTATTTCGTATTGTGTGTGTGGTGATTTTATTTAGCTGGCTTCTTGCCAGGCCCTCCCTCGTAAAAGAGGTTTTTAACCTCCAGGGTTTTTTTTACCTGGTTAAATAAAGGTGAAAAAAATACTGTGTCGGGTGGTGGCGGGTTTAACGACACATTTATATTTAAGCGATTTAACCCCAAACCCCCACCCCCCATACATTAAAATGGATGAATGTATTGGCATCAGAAACCTGCGCTTTAAAACTTGTTAATGTTTTAGACTCGTATGCCCTGGGCGAGTAGCTGACACGTGCAGAGGGTTGGTGGTGTCCTTGTGGTGTGCGTGTGAGCCAGAGAACTCCTGAACGGCCAAGCTAGTTGGGACGCGAATGATGGCATCGCTTGCACGTGTCTCGAGGCTATACACACACAAAGACAAAGATCCCCCGTATAGCCTTGACAGACTGTTGGGCCAAGTGCCGTTAGCGAGGAGCACCTATGAAGACCGGCACGGTGCACCGGGCCGAGAGGGTGGCCGACATCACTCCCGGTCGCCTTTGTCTCCCCCCCGTGCCGATGTTTACAACACCGCACCAGGCACTCGTTAAGGTTGAGTCGCCCTTGGGGAGGGCCAGGACCTGGTTCAGATAATTGTCAATCGATGTTGTGCCGTGAGCGTGAATCGAACGAGGGTGGTCGAGTTCGTCGTGCAGTGCGCCAACCACTTACACTTACGGATTCCCACAATAACAACAACCACCGTTCACCACTAAGTGGCGGTGACGTCACCACGGCGCTTGTACCAGGCTAGGTACATTTTGAGACCAACGTGTCAAAGGTCCGCTGGCGAGAGGTCACGGAACAGACCGAGGTGCCATGGGTTGACTCTCTGAGATGACTGGCAGATGCATCGTCTGTGCTTCCCACTGTGCCAACTCCCTGCGTTTTATCCGCCCGGCGCCTCAGCTCATTGTTGTGAGCGTCGCTCCTCTTGCCCCCTCCGTTGTTGCTGGCAGGAGGGAGGCGACTGCCTCCAAACTCCCCAGCTGCGTCCTTCACGAACCTCCCTCCCAAAGAGGCCGATCTTGGAACACCGCCCAACATACGCACGGGAATACAGCTCACGGAGGTCGTAAAACCAGATTTGCCTGCTACTCCTCTTTCTTTAGTTCGGGTGCTTCCCAAGCCAGCTGCGACTCCCAACACTCTCAAAGAAGTGTCCAAACCCCCCGTACCCAAACGCGCCCCGTCAGAGCGCGCAGCTCGCCTTCGTTGGTGGCCATTCAAGCGTGTGTTGGAAATTCCACGTTTGTGTGTGTAATGAGAATAGAGCCGGCATGCGGTGGTGAGGGGACCAGTGGCCACGGGAGGTAATGACAGGGGAGTCAGCCTACAGTGTGAATGCACTAGTGGCCACGGGAGGTAATGACAGAGAGGTCAGCCTACAGTACGAATGCACTAGTGGCCACGGGAGGTAATGACAGGGGAGTCAGCCTACAGTGTGAATGCACTAGTGGCCACGGGAGGTAACGACAGAGAGGTCAGCCTACAGTACGAATGCACTAGTGGCCACGGGAGGTAATGACAGGGGAGTCAGCCTACAGTGTGAATGCACTAGTGGCCACGGGAGGTAACGACAGGGCAGTCAGCCTACAGTACGAATGCACTAGTGGCCACGGGAGGTAATGACAGGGGGTATCGGTTGTGTGTGCGAAGAGACTGGTGGCCACGTGAATGATCGAGAAGGGAGCGTGGCCAGGTGACGAAAGAGGTCGGTGGAGTCTGCCGGTGGAGCGAGCGTTCAGAGTCAGGGAGAATGATCGAGAAGGGAGCGTGGCCTCGTGTTGGTATATAAAAGGGAGATGCTTTTGCGGTGGGGGTCTCTGCCTGATGTCAAGTGAACGCGTTTTCAGTAAAGTGCCATCTCAAGAGAAGTGTGTCAAGTCGTCACTGCACGTGTATGCTTGGAGTCGAATCTGACTCGAGAAATAGCATGGTCTGCGATGTAATGATTGTTCATTTAACATGAAGACAAACGTGGAATTGTTGTATTATTGTTACTTTAAGTGACTTTCGAAATATATTTTAAATATATTGCTTCAGTGGGGTTTTGCATGCTTTTCATTGCCCTTTGTTTTCAGTATGTTGACGAGGTAATCATTGTATTTACTTATTAAATAATTACATCTCACCACGGAGATGGAGCGATGAAATAAATGCGTGTTGCAGCTGAGACGGATTGTTTAATCCATTGTGCAATCGATTGCTTTAACTGCCTTCTCGCTCATGTAATAATACATTCTACCATCCGTTCCTGTGAGATTAATCACGGCTGATGACGATTGCGTAGATGGTTGCTTAGAGCTCCCTTCAGACCGGAGAGAGCGTCTCTCGACGAGAGGGTATTTGGTCTACTCTTCCACGATGGCCAGTCTGCAACGCCGCTCATTCTCCCTCTCGTTCCGCCCCTCCCCTCTGGCGGGAGGGGAAAGCAACTTTGCACGTACGCACGTTGAACTTCTTTCGCACCGTACGTAGCCAACCGTGCTAATCCGGAGGTGCGCGGGCAAGGACAACAAACTACACACACACAAAAGCAATTCTGCGGTGAGACGGGACAGGGGGAGGGAGAGTGACAGGAGAGAGAGAATGTGTGTGGTCGCCTCAAAATGTAAAAGTTTACAAGGGATGCGGAGTTTGCTGAGCGCGGAGGAGCTGATCATTATTGATGGACGGCAGTGTGGAGATGTTTATTATACTAAGGGGGAATAATGTTTTTAAATGTTTTTTGGAGACGGAGAGAAACACGGACACAGGAGCAGGTTTAAACAATTAAATCTTTATTGAATAACTGGCGGTAAGTACCCGGCGTTGCCCGAGCAAAAAGGCAGACACACACGTGGACTTACACACAGACATCGACCCACACACATAGAAACACATAGACTTAGACGCACACACACATGGTTAAACCCATGCCACATCACCAATTGTGAGTAGTGGGGGTGGATTGTCCGATGGGACAAAATACCCAGGCAGGTGCTTAGTTTTGGTGGTGCTGATGGTAAGGCCCCACCTCTTAGTGACAAGCTCCAGGTTCAGCAGCAGTGCCTCCAACTCCTCCTCTGAGTGAGCCGCAATCACTAGAGCATCGGCATACATAATATGGTTGAGGAATAGGGAGCCATCCCTTGACCACACCCGGACATCGATCAGCCTCCCATTGTATCTGTATCATATGGTAATTCCTCCGGTACAGCCATTGAAGGCTTCACGAACTACGTGGTCAAAAGATATGTTAAATAATGTGGGAGCCAGAGGACATCCCTGTCACACCCGAAGGTGTAAAGGGAATGGTTCTGACTCACGGCCACGTAGTTTGACGCGGGGCCGCTCACCATCATGAAGGTCCTTAAAGATCGTGAGCAAAGGGTGAGGAACTCCGAAAGCATGAAGAACAACCCAGAGGCCAGGCCTACTGATGGTATCATAGGCCTTGACCAGGTCAATAAAGCACACACATTCACTCACACGCACACATGGACCTACAGACACGCGAAGAAATGGACTTACACTGACTCACATGGAGCCACGCAGGCAAAGCGACTAACACACACGCCCATGGACTGAGACAGACATTGACTCGCACACAAACACATGGACTTACACACACACACATATGGACTCACACACGCATAGACATCCATTTTAGATGCACACACATGGAGTTACACATACAGCGACACACACACACATGGACTTACACACACATACATAGACTGACACACACATTGCCCTACACACATACACATATGGACTGTGACAAATAGACATCTACTTTAGATAGACACGCATGGATTAAGACACATATGGACTCACACACATGTATTGACTTACACATC